AAGCAATGAGAATATTATAGAGGTTGAATTCCTAGTAGAATCATGCATACATATTGTATGCAAAAGACTATATGGAAAAGTGGCTATACTAGCTTTTTAGTTGGGAATGGACGAAAACCAACTTCAAATTGTTAGGTCCACCACTAATTCAACATTCATTTGTCAAAGGGATTCATTTACAATTATCAACTTTGATTCCAACTATAATTAATAGTGAAATTGCAAAAAGAAATCATAACAATACATGAAACTCATGTATATCTATAGTACTAGTTCATGCACAATTACGTGATGGTGTATATGTGGAACAATAGGATGACACTCGCAACCTCACAATAGTATAATTACTTGTGAAAAAGACTAGTAAGAAAAACGAATTAAAAAGTCATGATTTGAGGCCAGTTAAACTGATTTGGCCAATTGAGTGTGTCCACCAAGCTACAAATGCTAATAGTCTCACTTAAAGTGGGAGCTTAAAACGAATAAAATGGCAAAATTAAGAGAAAAGTTTTGTGGGGGATGTACTGGAGCAATAGAATGAAAGGGAAAGAAACAAGAAAGTTAGAGAAAAAGTTCAAATATTGTGGACCAAATTAGAACAAGTGGGAAGCTGTAGAAGATGCAAAAAGAAAGAGGGACATGGACAAGTTGGAGATATGATTCGGAATCTTAGCATGCTAGAGGAATCTCAACCATTCACCACACGATTTTACCTCCCCTTGACCTACTTGATTCGTCCACCTACGTCAGCTTCCACTCCCATCTTGCTTGCTAATTAGATGAGGCTCTCTCTATGTGTATAAAAAGATAATGCTTGTTACTATCGGTATTATCATCACCAAATCAGTTAGAAATTTGCATATAAGATTTGCTTGGGACTTTGTATACATGGTTAAATCAATAGTAGTTTCTCTCAAGAAAATAAATAAATAAATCAATCAATCAATAGTTATAGGGCATAGTCTTCCCATAAATTCCTACACATGATTCCATTATCATGTATAAAGTTTAAATCTTCCCTTATCTCAAGTTTAAAAACAAAAACAAAAAAAAATCCAATGTATCCCAAAATTAGCATGTAAAACATTTACAATTGATTTGAAATGTGTAGCGCTGATCATCAATAATGATATATAAATTAAAACCAAAACAAAAAGGGAACATAGTAATTATAGATGACATGAGAATACTTCAAAAAAAAAAAGTCGATATAGTTATAACTATAGAAGAAATGATAGTTTAACATTGGTTTTACTAAAAAATATATATATAAAGGATATATATTATTGCCATTTTTCAATTGCATGCACGTAACTCTTTAAAGAGAGATAAAAGAGAGATGAAATTGAAGTACTCAATAAAAAATACATATCGACTTTTTCAAAACATTGATTGACATGATAACGAATAAAAGAACGCTCATATTCAATCCTATAAAAATGAATATCATTTCTATAAAAACAACTAGAAACTACAAAAAAAAAAAAAAAAAAAAGTTCTTGGACAGAGACTTAATTATCTTTTTTTGGGTGGAAATGAAATTTAGAAAGGAAAGGGAAAAAAAAAAAGAGTTATAACGAAAAAATAAAACAAGTAACAGAGAATAAGCGAAAAAGTCAACCCTCTCGAGTTTATCCGATTGGACTTATTCGCCTCCGACAAGTGGTGGGACTTTTTTAAGAATTGAGGAAGAAAAATCTCTAGCTTTCAAGTAGCACTAACAATACTACTTCAGCAGAAAAGAAATAAAAGAAAAATGGGCACTCACAATAATTTATGACTTTCATAAAGGCAAAATAATCAATAATCTGTCGACTCTACTACTGTTATATGCACATATATCTGTGTGTGTGTATATATATATTATTTCCTTTGTAGTGGCGGAGTAATCATATATTCGGCGGCTCTTTGCGCCACCCACGATCTTCATATTGCTCCCCATTTTTGGGATGCTTTTTAGTCCACTTCATTCGAGGTTACTACTTTCATTATGAGAATAATTTGGCCATTGAAAACAATCATAAGCGCATAAATTGCCTAGAGATGTAATTACGCGAATATTATAATAATGATGCTGGACCATTACTATTAGGCAAATGGGGGGAGAAGAGAAAAAGGAAAAAAAAAAAAAGGAGTGCTTAGAAGCAAGCTTTATATATTATTATGGAAAATTTAAGTAATATGTATACACATATATATATATATATATATATATATATATATTGCACCTTATCAAATATATATCATAAGTGTGTATCAAACTTGTATCCTCGATTGGTCAATGTTCAATTTTTTATCATTAAATTATTAAAATTAAGAGCATTTCTGTATGTGCCGAGGGGTGTATTTTAACCCTGCGTCTTTAATGTGTCAAAAATCCGTAGGCTAAAGCATTTTGTTTTTCGAATTTTTAAGAAATTTGGGGTGCATAGATTAGTGCCAACTAATTAAGAATAGTAAGTTTTGAGAAGGAACGGGGCCATATAGCATTATCCAAGCCAAAATATCTTTAAAGGAAAAAAAAACCCCCAAATCACAAACCATCTATCTATTGTTTCTTTCTATTCGATTTTGTTTTTATTTTTTTTTACTTAATTTGGAGATTATTTCTTCTTTTATTTTTGTGTTTGAGGTTATTTTTGTCAATAAATTTAGCCTTAACCGTCATAGGGTACTTGTTACACTTTAAATATCTTTATCTTAATTAATATATAATTGATGATATCCAAAGCGAATGATATGCTTTGTGAACAAACCCGAAATAAGAGGTACAATTAAATAAATTTGCCTATTATAAAACAACTTTTTCTTGAGGAAAAACTGCAGACCATTTGTTTCGACTCAATGACATTTTCATGAATTCATCTTAAGGGTTAGATTTTTTTTTTTTTTAATCAGAGACGATTAATATATAAATTGAAATTACAATATCTCACATATGTAGCGCCAGATCAAAGTTTCAAAAATAAAATCCTTTTAATACGTACATATCGAAACGTTTTGTTCACTAAACATATAGGAACATATGTATTAATTTTTAGAACATTTGCAATGCCAAGTTAAATTAATATGTCCATTTCAGAACAACTAGAGTTCATGTGGTGATAATTTCGGTGCTAAATTTGACGTATGTCATATTTTGTGCTATTCATTATCTATATATATATATATATATGTTAGAATTACAAATTATGAGTGTCAGTTTGAGTTTTATCCTTGGAGAATACGAAGTACAATGTAGATAATTGAGTCTCTAATCTCTTTTACAATACTTTTGAAACCCAAATATATATGCTTGTTCCAAATATTTGGACTGGATTTAAGCCAGAACCCGAATGATTCCGTATAGATCAGTACACCTATTTATGCTCATAGGTTAACTTTATTACTCACATAAGGTGAGTGCTGTAATTAGGTACATAGAATTTTATTGTTAAAAATAAATATAATTTTTGTTCCGTATACTAGTGGTAGGCACTATTGTTTAGTCCAACTTGGAGAGATCCATTTTTGACTTTCTCATATTTTTTATGCGTCCATGTAGAGCTACTAGTACTGACTTCAACACAAGTCTAAAACAGTGTTTATGACCTTATCCATTAAACATACGAATTAATCAATCTTTTTATTTTTACTTTTATTCTTATCAAGTTAAAAGAACAAGATAAATGCTAAGGGAGAGTTCTGATTTGATCTTAAATACGATAGTGTTTGATATGCAATCATAAGTCATAGCAGTACATATTTAGTTTTATTTGTTGTCTCACGGCTTAGTGATGATTTTGGACAAAGTTGTATATTATTATTGGTGATAAATATTGCACACATGATAAACCTTGAATATTTTATTACAACTTGTGAGGAGATAGATGATCGGTCTTAAAATGATAAAGTGCAATGATAATAAAATATTCCTCTCATAGATAATGAGTCTCAGTGAGGAGCAATATTCGTCTTAGAGCTCGTACATGAGTTGAGTCGGTTTATTAATACGACAACACAAATATGACACGATATATTTTTATCACAGCATGACATATTAATCAATGTACCATGCCGAGTTTATTAATTTGGTCATGCCAGGCTTAAATATTGAGCACATTGGACCAAGCATGGTCCAACATAAGAGTAGCTTGACACAACCCATTTAACAACTCTAATTCCTCTTCAATTAATTTGAAGAAATAACCAAAAAAATATTGTTTAACTTCTATGTCAATTCTTATATATATATATATATATATAATTCTATATCAATTAATCCCAGTAGACTAGTAAAAAAACCACATAAAAGTCAGATTTGCATAATCTAATTATTTTTATATCATAACAAAACAGTAATTATGTTTAGATGTATGTAAGGCATGTATGACAAACCTTGAAATTTGTCTATGCCATAGTTTTATATACTTTGCATATGACAAACTTATCACTGCATCATCACCTCTGTCTAAGAACAAGAACAAACAAATTAATGAACAAACGGCTTCTTAAAACTATAAATTACATAACTACCCAGCTAAGTCTTCAGAACACGAACATGTTTAACATAGAAAAGAATAAACAAAAATGCAAAACCAGCCTCATATGGAAGCAAATTATGATCACTCCTCAATTTTCCTTCGTCCTGTATAGGGTAAATCGCACTTTAGACCCTTAACTTATGGTGCTTTTTGCACATTTTGCCCCTCCAAAAAAAGTTTGAATCACATTACTTCCTACGCTTTGTAACTTTTTGAAATGTCAACCAACTCTTGACGATTTTCAACTTTTAAGACGACTTAATAAGAGACAGCCACGATACTAGACAAAATTCTATGAAATCCACGTGGCTGTCGCCCATCAAATTCTATCTAAAAAAAAAAAAAAATCAGATTTGGTTTAACTTTGCGATGGGTAATTACAAAGTTTAGGAGCCACTATGTTTGTTTGCTTGTTTTTTTATTTTTTGTATAAGGAGTATTAATGTGCCAAAAGTTCGATAATGTCTTGGGGGCAATTTACTCTTTCGAGTGATGAGGTATGAATTGATCTCCAAAGTGACGAAAATGATCATTGTCCCCTTCAAGAAGGCGCACAACCTATGATTATAAAAACCAAATATTAATAAGATTATCAAAGCACATTTATGAGTGGAAATAATGAAATGTAGCTAGTGGACATATCTTCCTCTATATAGTATAGTTAGGTACATAATACCAATTTAGTAGTGCTGTAAATTTTAAAAAAAATTGTTCTTAATTGTGCTAAAAAATAAACATCTGTTACAAAAAACAGCCGAGTGTTTAGTAAACTGTATTTATACAAGTATTAATTTCAAAGGTATTATGGGAATTATAAAAGTTTAATTAATTGTACTTCAAGGTGATTACTGCACAATATAAAAGTCAAAATTGTCTTAGGGCTGCTTTTAATTTTGACTGTAAATTCTTCAAGAATCACTTTTTATAGTTTTTACCAAATACAAATTTCAGTTGGGGATGGTTAGAGAATTAATTTTTAGCTCCAAGAATCACTACCAAACATACACATAGTATGTTCAAAGGCATCCATATATTACGCCTAAAATTCATAAGAGTTTGGGAACCAGGATCTCATTACATAAGACTATTTTATTTCTTCTATCAATTTTAAATTTATCATTTATTTTTTGTATTCCACCAGTACATGTTTCATATTTTGCCAGAATATATTTTAATGGCCTAAATAATAAAATAATGAAAAACAATGGTTATCTTATAATTTTTCCTCATTAAAATGAATTATATCATAAACCTCTATATCTCTAACAAGCAGCTTATTAATTAAGAGTAGCTAGATACAGTTAAGTGTTTGTGGTTGTAGGCTCATCTTCGTTGTTGAGATGTTTATACTTCAAATCCCCCCACCAAGTTATTATTATTATTTGACTAGTGCGGGACACTAACTCTAATTCAAGCAACTTGCATGGTACAAAGTTATTATCTTTTTATTAGTAAATATATTTACTTATTATTAATTAATATGGCAATCTTTTAAACAACTACTAATAAAAAGATGACAGCTTACGTATATTAGTACAAAATAGTTAGGATTAGAGTTTAGCATCTCTAACATTATTCTCGTTAATTTGAAATATGGAAGGACTTAAGCATCTTTAGTTAAAATACCTCTCCCATGGATGGGCGCATTTCAGGGCTTCTTTGCACGCATGAGTATGCAGCTTTAGCCATGCGGTAGAACTCAAATGTGTCGTGTGAATTTTCAATCCGAGGATCAATCAGCTCATGTAGTGCCAGCCTCTGTAATATTGGTTCCGCCTAATATTTTCTCACAACGCATAATTATAAGGCTTAGTCTAGCGTTAAATTCTATACCAATCTCAATATTGAAAAGTCGACAATGTTTGTGAAGAATTCCATTGCATAATGAGAACCAACATTAATTTACATACCCACTGCCTTATAGATTGTTGCATCTCCTCTCCTTCTACGTCGATCACCACTTTGCGTCCAGAGATAAGTTGTAACAGAACAATGCCATATGCATACACATCCGTCCGTACAGAAACAATGCCATTTTCTGCATACTCTGGAGCAAGATATCTGCATTATTAAAAAAGAAAAAAAAAAAAAAAACAAGGCTTCACTACATGTCATCTGGTTCCACATCTTAAGAGATACAAACTGTATAAAGTAGGAATGTTATTCCTTTCCTGACAGAATAGCTATTAAAAGATTAGTCCTCACCCTAATGTTCCAAGTATCCTCGTCTGCACAGGATCGTCGCTTGTTTTCCATTTCGCGAGCCCAAAATCACACAGCTGCAGGGAGAGAAAAAGACATCATTCTATCAGCTACAGTACTAATAATCTTGCAATATTAGGAAGCGTAATCACTAGTGCTCAACACTACATAGTAGTAGAAAGCAGGTCCCATAACGTAAGATCTACAGAAGAAATTCCTTTTTTTTTATTAGTTGTGGTGTTGCAAGTATTTATCTTTCAATTTGCAAAGCAATTACGTTTGTACCATTGGAATAAAGTCGTGCGTCAGCAAGATGTTGCTCGGTCTCATGTCCCGATGAATTATAGGACCTCCGCGGCATTCTTCATGCAGGAAACGCAATCCTTTTGCAGTCCCAATGGCAATAGCATATCTTTGGTGCCATTCTAGAGGAGTTGCTTCTTTATCTATGGAGGTAGCTCCAATAAATTACTAGATGCAATGCAATACTTGCGTGTTTACCGACTAGAAAAACAGAAATGTATAGTTTTTAAAGAGTAGTATGTCATGATTAGTCTTTTTGAATCAATATTCACTAAAATTTCTAAGTTTACTTATTATAATATAGATCAGTCTTATGTAATCTTACATATCAATCTCTAACTGGTTAAATAAAAGTAGCATAAGATCACTAGTATTTTTCTCTGCACCAAAATTATTAAAATTAATGAAATAAAAAATAAACGTTTATCCAAATTGAACCAATGTCGTGACTTACCAAATAAGTGCCAATAAAGAGACTTGTTGCATATATACTCATAAACCAATATGTTGATGTTCTCCTTGGAACAATAGCCTAGCAACATCACTATGTTCTTGTGACGCGCAAAACTTAAGACGTAAACCTCCGAATGGAACTCTGCAAATCCCTGACTACTTTCTTCTTTTCGCACCTTCGCGGCGATGAGCTGTCCACTGTTGAGTTGACCCTTGTAGACATGACCATATCCACCTTCTCCAAGTAAGTTTTCCTTGGAAAAATTTTCTGTAGCAGCCTGAATTTCATTGTACTTGAATATCACGGCTTCTTTGATATAGTAAGTTTCAGTTCTTGCCCCACAGGTTATGCAAAGAATAGGAGCAGAAGAACATGTGTGTCGGAACAAGTAATTATTCTCTTCTACGGGGTACAAAGCTGGATCAAACCGCAACATAAAATACAATCTTTACACAATTTCTTTTTTCACCCTTTAAGCTTGCAGTTAGTTGTACAAATATGTGAAATATCGATGCTTAAAGTATTAGAAGGTATGGAGAATACTGAATTATAATGATATTAACTATTAACAACCTTTGTTAAAAGATTATACGAGTTAGGAAGCGATTGTACCTGATTTTTCATGCTTAAGATTAAAAAGTGATCTATTAGAGTATGAAGAGCTGCTCCTCGGCATATCAAAGCTATCATTAGATACTGGATGGCTACTGTAATCACTCAAAGAAGTAGCCGACTGGTCGGTATTTATATCGAAATTTTGAGTACCACTCGAACCCCGACGTCTACTGATCGATACAGGAACTTGCTTGGATAGGGAGATAAAGTTTTTATGTTCTGTAAGAACTGCATGAGGATCACCTGTAAACTCAAACTTCCCCGCTTCCAAGGTTAAGTCACCTTGAATGAATGAAAACTTGCATGGTATAACCGTAGTTTGGATTTCCTTTCTAAGGTGCCTACACTTGCCATTAATTTGCAAATCACTATCATTTACAGATCATATATATAACGAGATTTTTTAATAAACTGTGAGAGAAAATAATAAATGATATGAAAGACAACTAACATATCATATATAGGTTGGCACCCACTAGCAACTAAATTCTCTGTTAAATTCCCCACTCAAAAAAAATATACTAAATAAAAAAAAAAATACAAAAGTGTATGAAATTATGAACAACGCAGAGAAGAGAAACAAGGACAACACAACAAACGAAATTAAGAATTGAACACATAACCAGAAGTACCACTCAAAAGATTAAGCCGAAACTCTTCCCTTGAAGAGGAAGCCAAATTAAGTTAATTCCAATTAGCAAAATAAATTGAACATGTATCATGATCTACTATGGACCCATGTAGTTTATACGTTTGAATATAAAGTTTGAATAAAAATTTAAATTTTTACTAGAAAAAACACTATAGCGAAAAGATTTAATTTGAATTATGATGGAACTCATTTAACAAACGGGAGAATATCTCATATTTACGCGCGTGCACACATTTGAAGATAAATATGAAGCACAACACTAAGGTAGATACATGTACAAGAAAGTATACCTGTCGAGTAGAACCCAACTTGCATTGCGGGAAGTAACTTCTTGCAAAATAACATGCTTGCTGGGATACCCAGCAATTATTTTGACTTCAATGCTGATCTGGAATATTATAACAAGGAAATTTAATTATATGATGGTGATGAATAAGCAATAAGCTAGCTATATATATTGCTTATATGAGACATAATTCGCATATGTAATAGAAACACATGTAGTTTAAAAACACAAAATTTGGATTTAAACTGCTACAGAAATAGATTTATTCTTTTGGTCATCAAAAGGTGGTTTTCTGCCGGTGAAGTATAAATTATTAAACCTTAATGCTTGAAAATGTAATACAACCAGGTGTGTGCATCTAGATATTTCATTTGAAGGCAATAGCTATACGTGATCAGGAATAAAAAATAAAAATAAAAATAAGTTGAAAACTAGATGATTTAATTGCAAATGTATGAGGATAACAGCGTCTTCCTTCTTTTTTCTTTAATTTGTTCATTGTTTGTGAATGAGATATTACTTTATATCATGATCGTTAAAAGAGACTCAAAGGAGTGTTCCTTTCGTTTTTTTAACTCCATATTTTGAGGTTATAAGAAATTCACACGTTATATTAATTTTAGTTGTATAACATGATTTCAAATTCACGTTAAATTTCAACCTTTTTCGGTCGGGGGTCGATTTTAACTGTGAAAAGTACCCATATGATCTTATTTTGGAATCTTTATTTTTCCTAACTAATTTTTCTTATTCTTATTCTTTTCCTTTTATCTTAAGAGCGTTTTTTTTTTTAGTCAAAATGTACGCTTTTTCATTTTTTTTCAAATCCTTCAGCGATCTGTTACCTTATAAATTGGTGAATATATATACAATATCAATATATCGATCTATTTTAAACCGTAAGGTTTGTATATCTACGAGTTTTACATAATACTTTTTTCTGAGAAATAAGATTTAATGTCAAAAAGGAATGACCAATTTACTCGAAAGCTCCTTGGTAAATAAAAGTAAGTAACAGTTTATCCAGCACATATTTGGAGAGATTCGGATTCGGACACTAGAAGATGACAACTGTGGTCTAGGAGTACTCCTGATCACGCTAATTACCAAAGAACAAGCATCATTAATGTTATGCATTTTTAAGAGTCTAATCCCAAAAGTAATCACTCTTATAAAACTGATATATTATACATATATATATATATGTAGTATGTATGTTATAAGAGAATACACATGACATTACCCCTTCATTTTTACAAATTTCAGCGCTTTCCAGGAGCATCTTCACATAAGCATCAAGTTTCTTTGAGACTTCTTTCTCTGTTGCCCGGTCACTCGTCATAAAATTTTCTGAATATAATTTCATGGGGTAACCCACTACGCCCAAAAAAAAAAAAAAAAAAAAAGAAAAAGAAAAAAGAGAGAGATCATTTCAAGTAGTTTAGTGAGAAGTTGAGAAATCTGAAAAAAGCAAATACACTAAAATTAAAGGGTTTAATTAATTTAGTGGAAATTAATTAATAATATATATAATTTTGTAATGATACAGTACTTACTAGGGTGGTGAAGAGTGTGCAAGATTCCAATAACAACAAGAGTATCTCCTGACCGGAGAATGTTGCCTCTAAATCGCACATTGTCGACGGTTCTCTTGAGCTCGCCATCGGAGCGCTCCTTCGTCGCGTCATACACAATTAGAACTTGTGACGGCCAAGGAGGACTTGCACTTGCCATAATCTCCATTGTTGAACTGCTATATATTATTAGTGTGGTCTAATTCTTGGATGTGTTGGTAACTAGTAATTATTGTTCCTCTAGTTTCTTACGTCTATATATATATATATATATATTAATAATTTTCTAGGCCAACTTTGGCGTTTAAATGTAAAAGACTAATTAACTAAACAAGTTTTGATACATGAGAAAGTTAGTTGTTTATGGAAAATGTATGGAGAGATGGAAGACTCTGATTGGCGGCGAGTCCTGATGATCAGAACGTCTTCTTTCTCTTGCAATTCTCTTCGATGTTTGCATTGTTCTGTATAGAGATATGCTATATGGATATTCCTTTGTCCTATATATATATATAATTTAAATGCAAGGACGGACGTGTACAATGACAAACATTTTCTGAAGCATTTACTTACAGGGAAAATATATATGGACTAACGCTTCAAGAAGTTAGTCATTTGTCTTTAATTCCTCAAATTATCGGAATCTATGATTATTCTATTATGCCTTCTTTATTGATTACTCTTTTGACTTGGCCCTGCTTTCCTGGTCAAATATAACGTACTGTTCCTGGAGAATATTATCTCTATAATCATAAATATTCCATTCCAAATTTGAAGAACATAATATTTGGTGGACGTGCTTATAATTTGAGGTAAAATTTATGGAGTGGTGAATCAAATGGTGTAATGAGATAGGGGAAAAAAACAGTTGTGCGTGTAGCAGTTTCCAATGAGTGAGCTTTTATATATATATGCCCTACAAAAGTTGTTGGGAACCAGCCGTGCAAAGAAATACAATATGCCCTACAAAAGTTGGTTTTGGAACCACGAACCAACTTGTATCTCTGTGCAGAGACAATTTCGTATATAACTAAATCACTCTTATTAACAGTAAGAGTAGTACCAACGACACTTTTTACTACCAATTCATGTGGTGGTAAGTAGTTGTCATTTTTCACTAGTAAATGCGATCTTTTAGTATTATTGAAAAAAAAGAAATTAGGATTAGCGTTGAGCTAATATTGTTATTCAAATAATAATGTTCTGCTCATGATACTGAATGACACTGTTCTTAATAATAAACTTGTATGCATAGCAATACTTGGGGAGCCTCTGAGGTCACGTGACAAGACCTTTTTTTTAAAGTAATAATATAAAGCACATTAAATATGTTGGAATCCAAATCTTTATCTTATCTACTATGTTAGACTATTAAGACAATATTCTAAAATTATTTGACAATGTCGGCGTATATACCAGAAAGAATATTCTTATTCCTCTAGTAAGCAGCTACTGACTAATAGTTTAAAAAATAAGATCCGTCTAGAGCAACTTATTTGTTTCCACCTTTCTGTAATTTGCATGTCTCAATTACTGTTAATATCATGTTCTAAATTGAATGACCAAAGATCATTCTCGCAGTGGCAATTGTATTGCCACATCAGTTCATGAGTTTGATAATTAATTTGCAATAAGTTGCTTTTAATCAAATAATAATTCTTATTAGCTCTTTTTTTTTTTTTGTAACCGTGTCGCTCGTGACACGATCCGGCCACCAATAAATAATGAAAAAAAAGGTGTTATTCATGAGGAAAATGACGGCAGTTGAAAAAAAGATCAAAATGACCTACATGAACGGTGAAAGAACATTCACAAGAAAACGACATCAATGTCAAAAACGACAACTAATTACAACAACAGGAAAACGACAACAATTAGAAAACGGCATTCATATAAAAAGGTAACTAACTCTATGAAAGCGGCATCAAGTACTAAACGACATCACTTTAAAAAACGACAACTACTTACATCAACTGGAAAACAACAACAATTACAAAACGGCGTTAATATAGAAACGAAATTCTATGAAAATGACATCAATGTCAAAAACTACAACAACTTGCAACTGGAAAACGACAACAATTAAAAAGCGGCGTTAATATAAAAACGTAATTCTATGAAAACGACGAACAACATTAACTAGAAACCGCATCAAGTATTCAAACGACCATAAATACAATATCAATTGGAGAACGGCAATGATTAGGAAACGCCGAAACGGGATTAAAACACAGATACGCACACACAAGAAAAGACAATTCGACAAATACAATAACTAAACAAAAAACGACACGAGCCTCAACAAACAACACAAACATTAATAGAAAACGACATTAAGTGTGAAAACAGCATGAAGGTAAAAACGACAACAACTTAAAAATGGCATCGTTTGGGAAACGCCAAAAATTGGAAAACAGAATTAACAGAAAACCAATTCACCGAAAACGAGTAACTACTTTAAAAATTAAAACCACAAACAATTTACAACGACGTAAGAAACTACAAACAATTTACAACGACGTCAATTGGAAAACAGGAACAACTTTGAAGCCGACGAAAAGAACGAAAAAAAGTTTGAAACGAGAAGAACCTCGACAAACGAAATCAAAGAACTAAAACGACATAAATGGAAGAAAACGACAAATAGAATTTGAAGTACATGCTTCGAATTCTTGGCATCCTAATTATTTTCAAGCTTGTACTAGTGCTTATTCCTTTATCTAATTAATTACATGTCATATCCCAATACAAAAAAAAAAAAAAAAAAAAAGTGTTCTGAAATACCCCAAAAAAATAAAAATAAAAACTGTTATTTAGATCACTTTCCAAATATACTGAAACACCTAAATGGGAACCTCAGAAGTGTAATCCTGTGGATGTTTTCTAATGCTTTCTCTAAGAAGTTTCTCTTGATCTTTAAGGTTTTGTGGTGTTTGGTCATAAACATCAGTGAACATCTCAGCAATTGGAGGTTTCTGTCTTTTCTGCAACTTGAATTGCCTGCAATAACTGCATCAAAAAATTTATTATATGTTAGAAGAAAGAATATATGTAGAAAACAAGGTTAAGAAAAGCAACCCGAAAAGAAGATATATAGGCATTTAAAACAACCTGCTTCTTTACACTGCTCCTGCTCCGGAGCTCGGTCTCAGCTTCATCACTCCACCAGCCATTTCTTTCCACCCATTTTCTAAATCTGTTAACAGGGTTTCTCGCCATTTTCCAGTACTCGATTTCATCGGCGGTTCGATACTTTGTCGAATAATCTGAAGTGGAATTGTGTCCCACTCTATAGGTAAGGGCCTAAAAGTTAAGCAAAATTTTAAAACCAAGCATAATGGAGAAAAGTTAAATGTGTGCATTATAGTGCTACTATGCAGTCCTTTTTATCACAAATATATGTCTATGCTTTGATAGAAACATGTCAGCTATCCACAGAGCTACGTACAAATTAGTACTGGGATTTCTTGCCCCTACTGAATTTTTAAAATTTTTAATTCAAACATGCATTCCATCGATTATTAAAACTATGTCCTTATATAGTGAAATTTTATATTTAAAATGTTTCTTTTTTTCATGTTGTGCTTCTATTGGAAAGATTTTCTCATTGATCTGCTACTAAAGTCAGCTACTTTATAATAAGCAAAGGAAGAACAATTAAAATGCACCTCAACTAGTATAGGTCTCTGCTCAGTTATGGCTATTTCAGAAGCTCTGAGAATTGCGCTATAAACGGCAAGAGCATCGTTTCCATCTACCCGAATACTTCGGATTCCATAAGCTCGGCCCTTAACCACAATGCCATCACCTGCCAAAGGTGAAGCACTAGTGAGAATTACAAGTTTGAAATCTATAAACAGTGTCCTACTAAGATGTACAATATGTTGGAATATTTTTATGTGGACTTCCATAATCATAATAATTCACTCTGTTATTAATTAAAGTATCTTATGAACAATTGTGTTAATGTAAATTAACACATGCATGTATGTTGAATATTGGTCCATTATAGGATGGACACTTATTTTATGGGAGAAATAGGGAAATAGGCCAACACTTAAGATGAATTAAAATTAATAGGTTAATAGTTTACATAAGTTAATAAATAGGTCAAATTACTATTTTTGTCCATAACTTGTCTAGTTATGAACCATAACTTATCCATAATTTACGGTTTTTGTCCATAACTTGTCTGGTTATGAACCATAACTTGACAAGTTTGTCCATAACTTATCTGGTTATGAACCATAACTTGACAAGTTATGGCCTATTAATTTCTATAACTAAAAGTTGGCCTATATACTTTCTTAAACTTTTCATATTGGCATATTTTCTACTATTTCCCTTGTTTTATTAACTCGCTTGAAGTATATGAACTCCATCTATCTCATAATATTTGGTCAGCCCATTGGACCAAATACTCTCTCTAATTAAATATTGGTTAAAGCCAATATCCTCACCCCATCTCATTTACTCCATTTTTTGGTGCCACCCTTTTTTTTTTTTGTGGTGTGTGGGGTGTGTGTGTGGTGCCCGAACGTGGGAGAGAGAGGGAGAGATAGAGAGGAGCTCAAGAGCACCTCTTGCCATTCTTCCTTTGCAACTCCTCCACCCACTCCAGCTGGCTCATTGGCGGATTCCGGCAACCGTGGACGAGCTGTTTCCGCTGCCCACCGGAAGAGGTATGCCTAAATCCCAAATAAGAAATTTTTTGTGGCATTTTTGAATTTTAAGCTAGATTAGTGTTTTTGATCTTGTTTAGATCATTTTAAATCTAGCAATTGGTATCAGAGCCAACTTATTTGGGTTTGGAGCTATGTAGTTTTGGATTTTTCATTTTCGGTGGAAGGAAAATCCAAAATTTGAATCCATGTTTGGCTCAAGTAAACGTTGTTTTGAGGTTACCCACTTCGAGTCTGGCTTATGGGTGACAATTTTCTTGAGTTTCGTGGGTCGATTTGGCCGGATTCACTGTGTTTTCAAACTTTAAAAATGGCCGGTTATGGGTTTTTAGGGGTCTGATTTTTAGGCCTTGTTGAGAAAAATTAACCCCAGAATATGAAAGAGCACAAAATTTAGAGAAAAACCCCTTTGGAATCATCAAAATCGGAGTTATAGATAGGAAGTTGTGGCAATTTGAATATTCGGGTTGAGAAACGGGTCTTTTGACCCGTCTCAAGGTTGAAGACGACCAAAGAAAAGAAAAAAAAATATGCGTCAATGTGTTAGGCGTGCGTCAACGCCCACGTGGCGCGCTTGAGACCCAGCGCGCGTGTCAGCCACGCGTCGTGCTTGGGTGGCGCACGTGGGGCCCATTTTTGGGCTAAATTCCTCCATATTTTGTGATTTTAATTAACTCCGTTTTGACCGCCGTGTTCGCTGTTACGCTCTGTTTTTCATTTCTTACCCAATTAAATGATTTATTTTGGGTTTAGGCCACCATAAAATCATGTTTTTAATATTTTAATATTATTGATTTTATATTTTTATGGGTGGCTAATTCTCACAATTTTCAAACAAATTTTTCCTGGTCATTTCGTATACAATTTGTTTGATGATTGACGCCATAAAATTATTATGTTGTTGTTATTATATAGCATATATGTAATTGTGAGAATTCGACAATAGTGAATGTTTATGTACTCGCCTCTCGTGAATCTAAACATGTCAAATTGTCTGAGTATGTTATGGAGCTCTCCCACAAAATTTAACATTTCCTTTTGAAAAAGGATTGGGATACACACTTCTTACATGGATGCACATGAGCTACTAGAAAATATTTTTATTTAAATATTTGTTTATTTTAAAAATTTTCATATATTTTATGGGTAGTTTTAATTCTCACTATTTTGAGACCTAAAATTTTGAGGCATGTTTGTTATTCCACATTATATGGTCATATTTTATTTGTTCTCCCACATAATTGTTTTTGGTAAATAAAATATAGACATATAATATGGATGTTTGTTCAAATTTTGAAATGCCCATTTTGTATTCAACATTTTAATGCCTAATTATTTATATAGGCATACATGGTCTCTTTTGTGTTAAACTAAGAATGAAAATTTTAATTAGAAGCTCATGTGTTATTATAAAGCTTAAGCTATAAGTTTATCCATAATTTATTTATTTTTGATGTCTCATTATTATTTGATATCTTGTTTTATGTGAGTATCATGTTTTTTAAATTATGCTATCCAAGTGGGAGAAAATTAAAAATATTTTTTTTTTGTGGATTAACATAATCACTAACTCACATACTATTATCAAATAATAAATTGTGAGATTATATGGATAAACTTAATTTGTTGATTATGTTCCGAAAGTCCATACGGGTAATAGCACTACAAGAAATATCATCATTAGTAACTGACCAAAAACGTTATTAGTCACTAGCAATAGCGTTTTGTGGAGCGCTAAGACATCGGACGCTATTAAAAGTCCTAAGAAAATATAGCGTTCTAAGAGAGTTATTGAAAGCGTTATAGAATTGAGTTATTGAAAATATAGCGTTATTTTCAACCTCTTACAGCTATTTAGCATGGCTACGATACAGATTAATAATTTTTTTTCCTTGTCATGTTCATACTCTTATAGCTTTTTAAAATTATTATTGATATCCTTTTGAATTCATTCAAATAGATGATAATTCTGAGTAACATCTTATATCTAAATAGGAACATTCAAATTAAAACATAAAAACATTCAACTTATCAATTGTTCTCAGTATCTACCAAGTTGGCAATAAACTTACATCTATAACATAATTCATACAATGTCCAAAACCTTAACATTCAAAACAAGTAAAGAAAACAAAGGAATAGCTGGAGATAACAAAGTATCCAAAACGTCTAACTAAGTGAAATGGTGAAGTAAATCATTCCATCTTGACAAAATGCTTCAACAAAAAAGTCATCTCCACCGTTTAACCTGTAAGAAAGTGATTCACTATCAAAACAATAATCAAACTCAACTAAAACTTTCACTATTTAACCTATAAATAAAGCAAGGACTAGTTACATCATTCACAACTACATAGCCACATCCACATATATTTTGCAGTGAGTTAGAGGAAACATGGCTTCAATGATGCACTAGACAAAAATTTAATGTCAAACTTGTAAGACAAAAAGTATCTTACATGTATTGGTATGTAGATAGTTGGAGAAAGCATGAGTCTTCATTGCCTACATTTTCAGTCTATTACCAACGGAACTTCGAAACAGTTATACAAAATTACAAAACCATGTTAATATCAACATATGTGTAGTTGACCATCCTTTCCTACTATCAGGACACAATACACAAATACAGGCCCATCAAAGATGCATATATTTTCCATTAAAAAAATATTTCAGAAACTCGACACTTTTCCTTAAACACAAATACATGACAATCGGTACGAGACATTTCTGGCCGCCATAGTGATATGATTATGGTTATTCGGTATTACCAAATGCCTTCTCATGGATAAAAATTTTAAAAACCTTAAACATAAATATGCAACAGTCCAGTCATCTAAGATATTTGACGCATGCGTGACCCTGTTAAATAATAGGACTAATTTCACACTTTCAGATGTGAATCATAACACTCTGGAGCATATTAGACTAAAAGAAGAATGAAAAAAGAGATACCTAATGGCTAATGCTCATGCCCGTGGTCATCATGGCCATGGCCGTGGCCCTCCCAAGGATGCCTCCAACCCTATATTATCAGATACAGTATGAAAGTGAATCCAAGTAAGACAATTAGAATTAATCTTCAATACAAAAATATCTGAGACATGATACAAACTTACCAATACAACAAGACCATACTGCTTGGCCCTGTATAAGATCTAAAACCTGCGGAATAATAAGGAAAAAAATTTGTTTAAAGCAATGAAAAACTCAACGTCTCACATGAAAAGAGCTATTAAAACTTACATCCTTGTCTCATACCCAACCAGTACTCGACATGTTCAGCAGTCAGGAAAAGAGATAGCGGCAAATGATATTCAGAAATACGAGAATTCACCTTAAACCAACATATCAAAAACAATACAGTTTTCAAAGTATGGAGATTAACCACTCAATTCAATTATAGCCTCTTAATATGACCTCCATATATTCAGCTTAAAAGAATGTACACAATACCTAATAACCTAAAAGAAAATAGTTCAAGAAAATCCATTTTCTTTGGGTTAATCGACTGGATTTCGTACTTGCCGATCCAAAGAGAATAATGCCTTCAAAAAACTAAGAAAGAAACCCAATAAAAGCACCGATTTTGATGTCCAGTACGCAGAACAGATGTTGGGGCTACACAATTGAAGAAAGAAACAAAATTGAATAATATAATATGCGGATTTGGGAGATAATTAACTAAGAGTGTGAAAATACTGAAACAGTAAAGGAACCACAGCTAATGCTTCCATACCAAATTTCAGAACAGTAACCAGAGCTTTGGACTCTGGACTTGTACTGTTACTTAAGGTTGTGGGAACTGCACTAACAAAGCCACTCAAATGCTTCATGGGAGGATGTAGGGAGACATTTTTCACATTTTTCAACAAAGCATGGAGCTTGAAAAATTTGACTTCCCGAAGGCTGAATTTGCCGAAGGCTGAATTTAAACATGGTTTTAAATTCACATTTTTGTCTCCAAGCCATCATAACCACAACGAAAATAGAACAAGAGAAACAAGAGTAAATTCGGATTTAAACCAAATAGGAGGAAAAAGTGGAAAACCCTACCTCAAAAATAAAAGCTCCTTCCTCAAAAGTTCTTAAGGGCTTAGCATCCCGACGTCGCCCTCAACATTTTCAATCAAGTAGTGTCGACCTCCACCGCCGGAGATGGTAGCTCACGGCGCGGACAACGGTAGGGCTCTGGTGAGCTTCCGAGCGTGATGGATTCCATAGGCAATATGGGTGTCATCTCGTTCTCCTCTTCGTTGTGAACTCATAGAAACAAGAATCACTCAATTCTGATCAAGAACGAGTGAGTTATTAAATTTTGAGATTCAAAAATTTTTATTGGAAGAAGAGAGAGAGAGAGTTCGGTAGAGGAAGAGAAGAACGAGAAGGAGAGAAAGAATACATGTAGAATAAGGAGAGGCAAAAAAATAAATATGAGAAAGAGAGAGAAATTTCAATTTTCGTAACCCGCCAAAACATTTCATGATTTTCTAATATATATATATATATATTGAAAATAACTTTTTTAAAACGCTATAAAATATAATCAAAATAAGTTTTAATAACGGTTTTTCAAAAACGCTATAACTAAAAGTTATTAAAAGCCTCTTTTGGTGTTGTGTAGAATTATCCTATCGATAGTTTTATTGCTTGGTAGGACGCTTGAGTCTTGTTGGAGCTTAAGCTTGTTATCTTTATCCATGTATTTTGGTTACGTATTATTATTTGACTTTTTTGGTTATATGAGTATCATGTTTTAGATTATGCAGTCCAAGTGGGAGAATATTGTGAATGATTGTGAGTGGACTTGCATAATCACTAAACTCATATTATAGTTAAATAATATATTGGAGTGTTAAGAATAATGGTATGTATTTACCATATTGTTAAGATCCATACGGATAATTAAATTATCCTATCGATAATTAATTGTTTGGTAGGATGCTTAGACCGGTGAAGGAAGTTTGTTAGATGTCATGAACCGCATAATCTTTACTACCCATCAGTGGTGGATTGATGCATTTGGTTGTGATGTTTG